CTGTATTTACACAAATGAAATGATGCAGACTTGGTGCTTAGCTTCACTTCCTAACACAAACACTGCAGCTGTCAGCAGGACGATGAGGTGTTAAACAGGGAGCACATCCCCTCTAAATACTTTAAGGAAAGACCCTGCTGAGCGAGGTGGCAGCTGAGCCACAAGCTGTTAATTGGCACCTTTTCTTTCCGTGTAAACAGGTCTGCTGCTTCAGACCCTGAAAAAAAGCCTCATGATAAATAAACTTGTTCAGGTCTGAGTTTAGAGATTTGATTCATATGCTGTCAAATAGGTTTTATTTCCGTCCTCGTCCTGTTGTGGATCCATACATGACCCAAAACTTAATATGGACATAAACTATGTCAGTGTGCGGAGGATGATGTCTGCCTCACTTTGTGATTTGAGTTTTACACTGCTCTTATGTCAACAGTGTGATGTGTGATGTCTGGAGTTGCTTTACAACCTTAAATCCCAGTTTGGTCTCAGAGAAAGTCTGTGTCCCCCCAGACATCTGCTCAAAGTGCCTTTAAATGTGTACAAAATAGTCACAATTACATTTTTATTTCTTAGATATGCATCCACAGAAGATGTGAAATCTATTTCATGACCTCAGAATATCCCATTTGATGTGTCTACTCTAAAACAAATTCTTAAAAATGACTTAATCATAGACGTGGTAACCTGTGGATTATGTTATCTGCACAGATGTGATCTAATTGTTAAATGGTACATGATTTCACTTTACAGGCTTTTTTTTTTTGGTCTTTACTCACATCCAAAGCTGAATCAATATAAAACATTGCTGCATTTAGCGACTTTGTTTCAACGCCTGTTAGACCAGTCACACACTTTTCATCATGTCAGTGTGTGTGTTCACAAGACGACACAAGATGTCACCAGTGAGTTAAGCAGGGTCACTCAAGCATCTATGAGCACAGTAGGTCACAAATATTTACTTCAATCAATATAGCAATTCAGATTTTGGCTTTCCCAGAGAGCGTGCAAAGCTTATTTTGTAAAATGTAGACCTCTGGGTTTTGAGGTCTCCATTTTTTGTGTTTTGGCCTGTACACAGGTTTAGGTACGTACTGCACTGGTACAGCATTGGTACTATGGATACTCTGTAACTCCTGAGAGATAACTTTTTATTACCAACACTCTGTGTCACTAAACTGGGGAAGAGGCTTCACTGGTGAACCAGTCAAACACCTGCTTCTTGTTCATGTTCACCCACTTCATGTTGGCCTTGGTTTTCTCCAACACCTGCTCCAAAGCCATGGTGGCCGAGCCAAACTTCCCTGCATTGTTTTCTTTGAACTCCAGCAGCTGCGGAAAAACACAGTGAAATAATTGGGATTTAAGTCTATGACGTTTGCACGTGCAGCATGTACTTGATATGCAGTCCGCTATAGTTGAAATGGAAATATTGTTTTCACTCCACTACAATGACTTGACAGTTATAGTTCTAAGATTTTGAGATTTTACATACAAAACAAATGAGAACCTTATGAAATCAACAGAAAGCTAATAAGTTGTCATGTTTCATGCAAAAATGCCAAATGTTACATGATTCCAGTTTCTTAAATGTGAGGATTGGCTGATTTGCCTTCTCTCACATCAGAGTAAACTGATTTGGGGGTTTGCAGTATTGGTTGGAGGAAACTATCAATCTGATGTCTGATGCTTTAGCTCCGGGGAGTTATGGGTCAAACCAAGCTATTAATTGATTAATTAAGAAAAGAAAAGTAGATAGATCAATCTTTAAATTAATATTTAAATGCAGCACCATAGAAAGTTGTTGAAAGTTTACTTTATCTCAACTACAACAGTGAAATTCTGCTTCCACATTAAAAGCATCAGAATAACATGATGATCAAAATATATATTAGCATCAGTCACATGGGCCGTTTGTGCTATACACATATTATATTTTTAGTTATGATACTTAAAATACATTATGCTAAAAATGCACATACACATTTAACATTTAAGCAACTTTCTCACAGTGACACATCGCTATACTTACATGAGAATACACTTATAGAATACACATTACTTCCCTCAGAATTTATGAATGTGAATCAAAAACTGGATGCTGCAAATACGTTGAAATGTCTGAAATATAAGTGAAACTGTACCTGCTGATATTCAAACTCAGTGGAGAAACGTGTGGTCACTCCTTTAATTAGTCTATCAAAAGAAAGTGATCCACCGCCATGCCTAAAAAAGCAGAAAATAAGATTATTTTGTACACACGAACATACTGTGTAAACAAAGCTGTTCCTGCTGCACTTTTCTTATTTATCTTGCCTCCATAGCAACCAAGCAACATGCCAACCCTTGCCATCTGATGACGCTCGGCGCAACTCATGTAAATATGTGGACAGCTCCCTTACTTGAAAAAGTGGCTCCATTTGGCTCTGATAAAGTCCCAAGCCAGAGGCTGTCCGATGGGGTTTCCAGAGATGTAAATAATGGTAATGGTGGCATCCTGCTTACGGATCTTGTCTGGGTCCAAACAATAGTCCAGATACCTGTAAACAAATTCACCATGAGGACAAATGCCAAACATGACCCCCCAGTGTCAGCAGACACTGGTTATAATGATAAAAGTTGAATTTAAAAAAACAAGATGCTTTTTGTTTTCATTTTTGAACATGTTGCAGAGTGTAATATCACCTTACAGCTGCAAATGCACAGAATAAGAGAAGAAACATTATCCAGCATGATGCCACTGCTACTGACCTATTGAGCAGCCATGGCTTTGTGGCACAAGACAGAGCATGCATGAGTTTATTAGCTTCAGAGGCGATTGTAGCTTTCTTGTACATGGACCAAGCAAAGTCCCACTCCTTCTCTCCTCCTTCTGCTAGTGCATTGCAGTACACTGTGGACCTCAAGTTGGGACTAATGCTGGGAGGTGGGAAAAAATGGGAAAAGATAAAGGAGTTGGGGACAAAGTAATGGACAGAGAAGGGGGAAATATAATAAATGGTGTCTGTATCGAAAAGAAAGCAAAAGAAGGAAAGAAAGTGTGGAGCGTGAACATACTCATTGTTATCAGGGCTTTGCATCCACTTTTTGAACCAGCTAGTGGTCAGATCCTTACAGGCTTCCACCCCAGTCTTGCAGGCCAAGGAGATGGCATTCACCTGATTGTACCTGGACAGGAGGAACACAACATGATTAAGAGAAGGGTCACACAAATGAAGAAGTTGGTTAAACAAGGGATGAACAAACAAGAACAAAGAAACAGATATAGTGGCTTTTTGGACAAGCACATGGGGCTCAAGCTAAATGCAAAACACGCTGATGTATAGCAGGTACCATTTTTACTAGCATCAGTATTTATCAAACTGCATTAGTTAGATAATACAGTATACTATAATAATAATAACAATAATACATTAATAAACATAATACATAATAATACATTTAAGAATAGTTATCCTACCATTTGCATTTAAACATTAAGTAGGATGTTACACCATTTTCCCCTTTTCACAGGTGCACACAAACATTAACAATAGCAGGAGTGTTTTTTTCATGGGACATCAGGGGCCCGAGCCAAATTGGACTTTGGGGGCCCTACACTGAACCAAACCAAACTTCCCCCCTGTCGCAACATCCCTGGACAAGAGCCTCATGCATCAACCCCAACCCGGCTACAGTGATCTTCCCAAAGGTAACAACAGGACACATGTTCATAAGAGTGAAGCAGCCTCGGTTGTTAGCAGACAGCATGTTGACGTCCTTACTGGTCAGTGTGATTTTCAGGGATCTTTGTCCAGTCGGCAGTGAGAGTTCTGAAGTAGTTAAACAGAGGAGTGACCTGTTTCTTTAGGTAAGCCTGACGAATGAACAAACAAACATCTAGTTATATGTTACACTATATGGGAATTGCACATGTATGCTTCACGAAGTGCCATAAAAGTGTTTTTTACAGTGGCCGTGAGAGTTCACACTATACAATTTAAGGAGCAATCTGACAAGACATGCATGGAAAATACAAACTACTCTACATACTCGTACTACTGTACATACTCACAACACAACCAAATACAATAATGAAGACGTTTTCTCCATCTGCATGTGTTGTGTCTACTTGTGTTTTCTTAAGCTGCAGTGAGTTCTCAGGGCCACCATACTTTTATTTTTGATTATTGATTGTTAAGCATTCTTTACTAACCTGCATGGGTCCATAAACTTCACTGCGATCAAACATGAGGAAGAAGTAGTTCAAGTTGCGCCTGGCTGCCTCCCATGGCACGTATTCTACTTCTTTACTGAGGAACGTGGTCGTCCTCAGAGCCAAATTTGCATTTACAATATTTGCCCTGAAAAGGTCAAATACAACTGCTCAGCTTTGTTAAGTATTTAACAACAATGTTTGGAAAATGTGAAATATGATCAGACCTTGCAAGATTAAAAGCATCATCAATAATCGAGGCCCGGTTGATCACTGGAATATCCTGGAAAGCGAACAGGGAAATGAGTTTAGAGGGAGGGGTCATCATTTAACTACAGTGCAGAGGTTTTACAGTTGAGCTCTACCTTATGTTGAGAGCTCAACTTTGCGATGAGACGCTCCCAGTTCTCAGAGTCATAGTTGACCCTGTAGAAACCCTTCATATCTATGTTGGCCACCAACCACTCATCAGCACTGGTGATCACATCCTTGTTTGTGGCTGTTTGGATGGAGATAAGGAATTAATTCATCTCTTCACAATGTGCTCATGACCCTGACTCTGCTCTGAGCTGAAATCAATCTTACCTTCTTTGGTAATAAGCCAGTGCTGTTGTTTAGATCCACCAGTGTGAATCCATGTAACAGGGACAAACCACTCGTAACTGGAATCACATCCACCCATACATTTAAATGTGCATAAAGACGCAGTATAGAGACAGGGTTATTTATAAGCACATATTCAGCATGTTCACTGAACCGTGAACAAGTATTTCCTACTTGTACACTGAAGGTCTGTCCACAACAGAGTTTGGATCCAGCAGGAAGTGTTTCTGAGTGATCTTTCCAGTTTTGGTGTTGATGGTGACCACAGGGAACCCCATCTGTAGGATCCATCGGTTCATGATAGCCTCCACAGAGTCAGGCAGCATTATACCAGCTTTATCCACTGCCTGGTAAAAAATTACATTCTATTACATTAATGATTTATTCTATAGAGTAGTCTCTTTTACTTTTTGACAGAGTTGAGTGGGTATAAAACAAGATGGATGATAATTTAATCCAAGACACATCATATACACATTCAGACATTCTAGTCTTCAGCCAAACCTTTACAATTACAAAGCTTTTGACAGAAGGCAAGTAACTCATGAGGTGGTGATCTCGAAAAATTGTTGTTGCTGTGGACTAATGTAATCAGCCATTCTCAGTGGCCTCTCACCTCAGGGTTGCAACAGGCTTTGCCGACCCTGTTGCAACTTCCCCATGGCAGCACCAATGTTAATGACCTCCTTGGACGTATTGTAAGGTTTGCATATTCATTACCTCAGCAGTTTGCGGATGTCAACTAATTTAGAAGACATTCTTTGTGAAGAGAGCGCAGTCATGATGATGGTGCTATAACGTACCATTTGGAGATGCTTCCAGAGGTCTTTGTAGACTGTGTTTTTGTACTTGAACTCCTCTAAGTATGTCTGGAGGCAGATGATAAACCAGTAGTTATACTCTAGTCGTTGTTTAGTGAAAACATGAATCGGGTGGAGGTCAGTTTCTCCACATGGAGCCTGCTCACATGGAGACCTTGGGAGAAGACCTTCTCAGTGATAAAATCTGAGAGCATCCTGAGGACTGAACCTCCCTGTAATAGAAAACAGAGATATTTTAGTATTAGTGGGTGACACATCAGATAAAACAAATTTACAATCAGTGATTCATTTTACTCATTGGTCAGCATAGAAAGTATTACGAGAACCTGATGGGGGCCAGCGCAGTTTCACTCAATCTTATTTTGTGTACCTGAGGTCTAAGTGTTTAGTTGTAGTGAATTAAACTGCACCTTGCTGTATGTGATGGAGTCAAACAGTTCACTGATCTGCTCTGGCAACATGATGTCCTCCTCTTTGGATGAAAGTGGATGGGAGGAGGCCAGAGCATCCACAGACATGGCACCAATGACCTCATTCAGGACTATTAAATCAAGCTGAAAAATATAAAGACATTGTAATTCAGTATGACCAGAAACTCAAATGCTATGAGCATTTCAGAATCATAAAATGTATTCAGTGGACAGTCTGTTATTGAGGATGCAGCAAGTTAACTGTCAGCAGAGAACAAAACCCACCATATTCCACGTTGGTTCAACATGGTTGGCTCCAAGATAAGAAACATAGGTTGCAAATCCCTCGTTGAGCCATAAGTCATTCCACCACCTCGTGGTCACCAAGTTTCCAAACCACTAAGAGAACAGACCATCATTTTACTTGCAAGGCAAGGCAGTTTTATTTTTAAAGCTTGTTTCACACAAGGAGGTAGATTCAAAGTTCCAAGCAAAATAAAATACATGGAAAAGAGTAGAATAAGAGACGTTGAGAAATTAAAAGAGGTAAAAGATAGAAAAAGGATAAAATCTGTATAAAAAAATAATAAAGTTAAAGGAGTAAATAATGCAAATAAACACAACTGGGTGTTCAGTGTGATACCATATGAGCGAGCTCATGGGCGATGGTGGATGCCACCTGCTCGTTGTCTCCATTGGAGGACATGTCATGATCATACAAGAGGGCTGTCTCTCTGTAGGTGATCAAGCCCCAGTTCTCCATAGCTCCAGCATTAAAATCAGGAAGAGCAATCTGATCTAAAAACCATTACAGAAGTGTGCATATGTAAAAAGCGGTTACAAAGCCACATCGTAAGTTGTGACAAAAATGGAAGATGATTCACTCTCCATGTGTTGGTGTGTTGGATTATGTTCCTACCTGATTTGTCCAGAGGGTAGGGGATTTTGTAGTACTGCTCAAAGAATTCCAGTATGGGCCCAGTCTTCTCGAGGGCATAGTCGCCCTGTCCCTCTTTTATGGCCTTCCTGCGAGCCCAGATTCTGATCTGGACAAAAACACTGCTTCATAAATGTGACAGAAAAACAGGTGATGGACCAGAGACCTGAGGTGAACTTTGAGTCCAGCAGAGGGCAGCATAGACCCAACCAACCAAACAACTAACAGGCAAGTGCTCCAACAACTGATGGACCAACACACAGGCATCCACGATTGTACTCTGGTTGTATGAACTGGCTGAGATTAAAATTTGCTGGATTGTAGTGGTACTAATGAGAGGTGGTGGTGACAGTAGCAGGGCTATATAAAACCATGATTCAATTATAATAATGGATAAAAACTGCATAGAAATCGACTTGTCTACAATCAATAATACAGCAATACGGTCAAAACCAGCTGTAGCCCTGGAGCCTACAGGTGGCTGCTGGGTCGTTGGAGGGGCTGAAGCAACTGGTAGTTATACTGCAGCAGTAGTGTGAGCAAAGGGGTTGATGGGAAATTTCTCTCTGCTTAAATAGGCTGCCTAATAAGGTGGGTGTGTATAATAGATGATTGTGGAGAATGAGGTATATCACATGATTGGAGCAGCGCAGCTCAAATTGGCTGCCTGAACTAGCTTGCAGGGTTCGCTCCATTAATAATAATAATACTAAATAAAATAACAACAACAATTATAAAAATAACAACAATAATTGTCATCATCACCATCATCGTAAATTCAAATGTAAGATGTAATTAATAATTACCAAGACGCCTGTAGTCGGTTCCTTCCCAGCGAAAGTAAAATCACTCACAACAAAAGCAAGCAAATAGGTTGACATTTTTGCTGTGGGTTTGAAACTGGTCTGGATTAAATTCTGGCCATCTTCAACAATGTCTACAGGGTCTGTGTGGGGACAAAGACAGCAGCAGCAATTTAAGTTTGTAGCTGCAATGTAAACAGTGTGTTATGAAGTGGGGAAACATGGTATAAAATTGTTGCACTGAACAAAAACAACAGGAACTTGCCGTAGTTCCTGGAGTTGGACAGAGCCACGGTCCCCTGGGGGTGAATGAGAGTCATGTGGAAGACAGCTTTCATAGCCGGCTCATCGAAGCAGGGGAAGGCTTTCCTGGCATCTGTTGCCTGCATTTGAGTTGTGGCCACAACTCTGACAATAGCAGACCCACATCAAGTTGACCAATGCCATCAGTCATACAGAAATGTAATGCCTGTTAATGTCTTCTGGATGCTAGTTTCTAATAAAGAGATTTACTTTTTTGTTGTATTAACTTTCCCTAAGCCTGTTGTTGGGACCTTCTATTGGTGAACAATAGCTGGGCCTACATGTGTATCCAAAGCCTGACCACATGTGTCCACACCTAGATGTAAAACCCGCCCCTTGACCCAACTTCTGGCTACTATTGGTTACTGCGTGCGTAAGGACCCATGAGGTCACCAGGCCGCCCCAGTTCCCCCTCTGCTCTATCATTTTTCCTGGAGGAGAAACAAACCTCTCCTGCTCACCTCACCTACACCCTCTACACTGCCAAGAACTGATGTGGTCATTTTGTTCTAGTTATGATTTAATTATTCCAAATTTGTAGTTAATTAATTTAATTAATTTTATGAAACTGAATAATCATATTGACTCTCTTTGCCCTTCCTTTGAAGGTCGGTGCAAGGTAACTTTAATGTGAATCAAAGTTAGTATATAATATTAATTACATTGATATCAAATATTTTTCAAATGTATTGAATGTCCAAAGGCAAAACATTTACTAGTGCCAAGTTGAATGCAGAGTATCCCAACACTGTCTTATTTACTTCTAGCTAGTTTTCAGCACCTAAGCATCAGTGTGTTTGCATCCTAACTATGGATTAACTCTCAAACTATAAGGAAATAGAATTTAAACCATACTTTTTCACTCCATCTTCTGTGTATTCACTCCTGTAGAATCCTCCCAGCTCATCGGACAGCTCTCCAACAAACTCAGTGTAGAGCTCGTACTTGCTGCCGACCTGCAGAAAGCTGTTGAGCTGGACCACCAGGTACTGGGTGGGGACCTCCAGCCAGGTTTTCTTCAGGTGTGGTGCAGTGCCTCCATTTAGGCCACTCAGTTTGACATGGAACCCCTCAAAGGTGGTGAGGTTTAACTTCTTGGAGTGGATAAGGATGAAGTTGGTCGCAATAACACATTCGAAGACCACTCTGGAGTGTCCGGTGAAGATGTAGAGGCCATAACCGTTGGGCTCCAGCCGGGGCCTCAGGGTGACATTGTAGGATAAAGGAGTGAGGGACTTTGGAAGTCTGTAGCTTTGCCAGAGCACCTTCTGCTCAGGCGTGATGACTGCCTTAGTTTCAGACTTCTTAGAATAAGACACAGACAGGGCTATGATGGTGACCGCGGCGCTGACGGCTAGAACCGCACAGGCTATCGCCACCCTTTTGCTGACGTATAAGCCTTTTCCCATTTCTGCAACAGCAAAGTAAGAAAGAGTAAACAGATACCTTGATATTCAGCACAAAGATAAAGGAAGTATCTCCTGGGTGGGGACAGCTTCATATTAGAAACACTGAGTTGTATAAAGACCTTGAGATAAGAGAGAGAGAGTTCTGCCTCATCTGTGATCTGTATAACTGCAGAATGAGGGAATAAAGGCTTTTTTTGTTCTGACTACTGTGAATTGTGTGGTGAAGGAAAATTAATTATAGCTTTATTTTAAAAGCAGAAAGTAAAAAGCTGCTGACACAAATCCTGCACAGACCAGACTGTCTCACTGTGGTTATATGCCACTAACTTTTTGCTTTGTTCTGTTTACACTAATTCAACTACTGGACTATCTGTGAATGTTTTTTTGAGATCCTTGTTAAGATCAAGGTTAGGTGTGTATTGGTCATGGATATGGTAAGGGATAAGGTTTTGGTTATGCTTAATAAGGATAGCTGCGCAAATCTGTGTGTGTGTGTGGTATTAGTCATGTTGTGGGGACCTAAATCTGATTACACAGCCACAATTTAATGATGTTATTGTTACATTTTAAGGTGAAGACTTGTTTTAAGCTTAGTTTAAGACTAGGGTAAGGTAGGGTTAGGGTTAGGCAAGTAGTAACTATGGTTAAGGTTGGAGTAAGTCTTGAGGAAATCTATGTAAATCAATGCAATGTCCTCTGAAGTCACAGAAACTCAACTGCATGTGTGTGTGTGTCTGTCTGTCTGTGTGTGTGTGTGTGTGTGTGTACACAAATCTGGTTATTCAAAAGTGAGGACAACTTCCATGATGAAATGGGCACATTAAACAATGGGTGTACAAAACTTTTATTTGGCCTCAAATGTTTTGAAAAACCTCAATCTACTCAGGTTGACCTACACAAAATGGAGACTCAGGTCTGAGCAGAGAACTCTGTCTGTGTGCAGACACAGAAATGCCCAGTGGTCACCCACCGTGTAATAGTTTTTATCATGTAAAAAAGAAGAAAATAAAAATATGTACATACATAAGTGTGAAATAGAAGCCATATGTGTGTTGTCAGTTGTATTGATTAAAATTGTTCCCTTAGCCATGCACACAATAGTTAAAAATGCAAGTTGAAAATGCAATAAAATACTTGCAAACACTCATTCAATCTAAATTACTCTGTAATGTGAACATGATGATTCTGGTGTCTAACTCGTCAATTGTTGTCAAGTGGTTGTTGTAGTGTGAAAACCTGTCTCATAGAAACCTCTGTGCAGTATCTTGATGACCAGTATCATGATTTGATGTTGGGCAGTCACTGGTAACTGATGCAATGTGACCTAAAAAACTAACTTTTTCGTTTTTAAGATACAGAGCTATTTTAGGTCTGAATGACATGAGCCCCCAAAATGTGTCATACTGCTCTAAAGAGCCAAATCAAACACACACACACACCGAATGACAGTTAGATGCAGCAAAACATTTTTACTTACCACGTATTCCTTCTGGCATTTTGTCTGTGTTGTCTGCAGATTGTAGTCACTTTAAAGCAGCGTGGTCTGTGACACTGCACTCACTGATGGCACGTCTGCCACTGGCACACATTAGTTGTACCAGGTCAGGCAAAATCTGCAACTTCCCAGTCCTTCCAGGTTGAGTCTATATATGGAAAAACACTGCTGGAAGTTGCACAATTCTCAAACCAATGATTGGCAGTAGTTTGTCCTAAACTTGTTGAAACTTGTCTTTAAAGGTTAATCAAATGTCATAGTTCTGAATATCAACAGTTCTCAAGAGGATTTTTGCCACAACACTGAATGGCATTGGGTGAAACCCAAAAAACTGGAGGCTTTTCGAGTGCTGACTCTTTTTCTCAAGTTTTACTAAGTCGTCGTAGACTTGAGACACAATCATCAACATGAATTGAGATTGTTTACGCTGCAATGCTGAAAAAAGCTGTCAAACAGCGGTAAATATTTTTATAATATCACTGCTATAATAGCCCTGTTATGATAATATTGGCAATCAGCAGATTCCAATCAGGTAGAAATCAAAGGAACAATTTGTTTGAAAAATCTGTTGACAAAATTGGGTTTGTATAATTATTCTCAGAATTAGTCTGTTCCATTCAAACTGTATGAGAACATCCACCACAACTGATTTAAGTTGTACATTTATATATCATCAATTAGCACAAGTTTGAGGACAAATGACAAACAAGCCTAATAGAAATCAGGGTATTTTATTCAGTAACTTTTTACAATATCAAGTGCAAAACGATTCTCAATGTAAAGATACCCAATTTACAGACTTAACATGGAGGGAGCCTCAGGAAATGTTAGTTTCCAGAGGAAAAAAGCAGAGCAAACAAAACTTTGAGGTACACACCAACACACAGTCACCCTGAAATGAAGTAAGAAGTTTGCACGGTCGGGCAGTCAACATTCCTCCATGATGACAGTTACTCATCATTGTCTTGTGTAGGATGAGTCAGCGATCACTTAAGCTGCTCTGGTGTTCTACACACAGATTTATGGCTCATGTTTGTGGTTTAAATAGATTTGATTCACTGTAGTAAGCAAGAGATATAAAGTGAAGTATGAAGAAAAGAGGATGAAGCATTTTTAAGAGTAGAAATAACTGTTAATAGAATCAAAGGACAACCAGAGTTGACAGTTCAAATTATTCATCACCACTGCGATACACACAGTGAAATATGTAGTCAATTTATTTTTATTATTATATTATTTTTACTTTACACTGAAGTCCTACCAGTTGTCTTAAATTTGCACGTCACTAGAGAAAAGGGACCGGTCCATTATTATTACATATCCCTGACAGTAAATTCAACAAGACAAATTGTAGTTTGGATTCATCAAGTCTTCTCACATGGACTCTTCAGTAAACCACTGCAGCACTTGGGCTTTGTTCTCTGTCACCCATTTGATGTTGGCTGTGGTCTTTTCTATCGCCTGCTCCAGGGCCAAGGTGGCAGAGCCAAAACCAACATGGAGGTGGTCCTCTTTAAATTTCTTCAGCTGCAAAGAGAGAGAGGAAAACAAAGACACATGAACAGAATTCATGCATTTGTTACCTTTCTTTATGAATACACATCCCCAGTAAAGTGCAGTGTGTGGGCTGCAAACCTCCTGCAGCTCGAATTCTGTAGAGAATCTGCTTGTAATTCCATTGATAAGATTGGAGAAGGAAAATGATCCTCTTCCATACCTACAACACAGAGAAGGATGCTATTCACTGGTAAAGATGAAGTAATGATGGCGATCATTTCATTCACTCTGTATTCTTTTCCAGAGAACCCTCCTCTAAGGAACAAGCACTTACTGCTGGTAAATGTAGCTCCATTTAGCTCGGATGAAGTTCCAGGCCAGAGGTGTTCCCACAACATTTTGTGAGATGACCTGAATGGTGGAGGTGGCATCCTGCTTGCGGATCTTAGTCGGGTCCAGGGTGTATTCCAGATACCTGGCTCAGCCAAATATTGTAAAAAAAAACAACTATTTTAATATATTTAATATTTAATTCAATATTTTTCACATTTGTAAAAAGGATGACACCACAATCTAGAAACCAAACCAAAAATAGTTTAGACATGCGGGTAAAGTCTGGAGAATTGTATATGGACAGTCTGCCTTTCACACATGCACAACGCAGCCGGACAGACACGTTCAGCGACACCAATGAATCCTCCGCATTATTCAGACCGATGTTGAGTTTCCATCTTGACATCTTCGTCTGTGTCGTCCACGTGTATGACACCACTTTTTCTCCATGAGATATTTGTTCTCTTGGTTTTTTTCATTTTTGCGTCAGTCGTACATGTTGATCGCCTCCACCGGAGAAAATACGAAGGCTAAAGCCAAATGATCTTTACAATTGTGTTCAAATTAAGCCTGAGTGATATGACCAAACAGTTAAAATCTCATATCAGTCGACATTGGTCATTCTTTCAATTAATGTCACATTATTTTTTCTTCAAGTGTAAAGACTGATTTTTGCTCCTGAGTAAAGGTTGAGGTTTTAAACACCTCTTCATGAACAAAGAATGGCAAACACCTGATAAAAAGGAAAACATTTTATAAATCTGAGGAAAATGTGTATTTGTTATATTTTCTCATTGTGCTCAATGCATAAGCATTAAATCAATATATAATGTAATTTTGCAATCGATTAAAATTCTATTGCAATAATAATTAATATGTTTTTATTGCCAAGCCCTTATTCTGATGAATGCATGATTGCATAAAAGTCAACAGACAGATGTGAGTGGTTGTGGACAGGCAAAAATGAGCATTAGTCTACAGTTATAGATTCTCATCAAACAAATGTAATGGTGAACTGATTAGCTACAAAAACAGATCCTTGCTCAAATCAAGAAACTCCTCAGTCCTCTGTAATGTGAGCTCTGTAGGCCAGATTCAGTTTGGCTTTTGTGGACTTTATAGACTGAGTCCTGCGAAGGAAGCAGAACTCAGACGCAGCCGTTGTTTCACTCTAAATCTTTCTGCAGGAAAGATCCAAGTTAGACTTTTGTCAAAATGAGGTTGTCTTGTTTTAAAACTGACTCCTGATCAGTGTTTCACCTTTTTCAAAAATATGAGAGATACAAAAAACAACAACTGTTCATAGTTTTTCAATTGAAAGCTACATGTTAAGACAAGAGCGTCATCCACACACACAGCAAACTTCAGCAACAATTGAATGTAGCATATACCTGTTCAAAAGCCACGGTGCTTTGGTGCAGCTCATGGCTACCCTCAGCCTGGAAGCTTCAGTTGCCAGTGTAGTGTTCTTGAACATGGTCCAGGCAAAGTCCCACTCTTCCACGCCACCAAAAGCTATGGCATTGCAGTAAACTGTGCTTTTCAAGTTGGGATGGATCCTGGTCAACATCGAGAAAGCGATGAGGTGAAGTTGTGGAGTTGGTGGTACATTGCTAACTGCCTGTAGTTAATGTTTGCTCAGATGTTTAACTGTGAACACTACAACCAACTACACAAACAAGTTTGTGTGATTATGAAATGTGAAGAGATGAAAGAACTGACGTACACTGCTTTGTACTCACAGGTTGTGACTTGGATGCCTCATCCAATCTCTGTACCAGCTTTTAACCAACTCTTTACATTCTCCCACACCCATACTGCAGGCCGTACTGATAGCATTGATCTGATTGTACCTGAGGAGGAAGACGATTTAGAAAAAGGAAAACTTCAATTGAACAATGATACACAATAAGTTAGACTAGATCACAATATGATAAGTAATTAGCCTTTTGTTTGCTTTAAAAAATCTTACTGGTCAGTGTGGCCTGTTGGTATTTCTTTCCAGTTAGATGTAATTGTCTTGAAGTGCTCAAAAAGTGGCTGTATTTGTTTCTTGAGGTACGCCTAGAAATACATTAACAATATTATTACACTTTGCTTTTACATACTTTTATTGGTATCACAACTATTTGTTTTACTGTTCTTGGTAAAGCAGTACAAACCTGTAAAGCTCCGTAGACCTCAGTGCGATCAAACATGAACATATAATAGTAAAGGTTTCCTAGAGCTGACTCCCAGGGGATGTAGTCTCTCTCCTTGTGCAGGTATTTGGTAGTCGTCAGGGCTAATGTTGTACTTACTATTTTAGCTCTGCACAAAGAAATACAATTATTCAGATAATTTGCAGACACACCATGTCTGGAGTGTTTAACTCTTTAAATCCTTTCTTTACCTTGCTAGATTGAAGGCATCATCTATGATCTGTGCTCTGTTGATGACTGATAAAGCCTAAAAGAATTGACAAACTATTACAAGTCCAGATATTACACACAAACAACCATTCGGTAACAGCTGCTGCTGTGTGATAACGATGTTGTATTCTTCCCTCATCAGTCATAGTATCTACAGTTTCTAAAAAAACGATTCATTGGTTTCTCGGACACAAGTTTAAGAAAATGTAACAGTAAGAATGAATTCTAAGATGCCTGAGAATAGGCGTAAAGCACAAGCAAATCAGCAAATAAATTCATATGGAAATGTGTGTCACCTGATGGTTGGTGCTGAGCAAGGACAGAAGACGATCCCAGTTGTCACGATCATAGTTCACTCTGAAGTATCCAGATACGTTGGTGTTTGCTAGCACCCAGTCATTTCCTGACACCCTCATCAGACTGTTGGTGTCTGGTGCAAAATAGAAAACAAAGAGAGGCTTAAGATTCAAAAGATTCAGTAAACACATTTACCGGTGTTTGAGACCACCAATCAAGTAAAACCAGAGGTGGGTGAACCCGCCTTTAGCCCCCACCAGTTCCCCTTGGTGGTGTGCTGACTGGTTTTATATTTTTTTTTAAATACTTCACAGAACTCAGAAAAAATGCAACAATGTATCTTTATTGTAATTTCATATTCATAGTATTATGAATGAATTGTGGTTCAATTGTTCCCATTTTGTAGAGTGGATACTGTACAAAACAGGGTATGCTAGATTCCCCTGCTCCTCCATTCTCCCTTCCTCAGTGGAAAGATGTGAGGTCAACCTATCATCACATTCAGCAAGATTAATTGACCCACTGAGACATTTTATCATTTAATGAGGGATAGAAAACCACTACAGTGAATGGAACCATCCTTTTCATGTATTTTATTTGGTGCATCTGCCCAGTGCTGCCCATGTTGCCCCTATCCAAGCCCCCCACTGGGTAAAACGTTACAAACTGCAAGTCCAATGTAGAAGAGGTAATTGTACCTGTCTTCTGAAGGAGCCAGTACTGTTGCTGCTCCACACCTGTCTTCATCCATTTAATAGGGACATACCATGTATAACTGGAACGAAGCACAGGTAAAGACAGTGAGACAGTTTAAAAAGTGGAACATTATTTATTTATTTTAGCCATTTATTTTATCCCTTCAAGTATTTCATGGATTGCCATGAAATTTGATACAGACATTCTTTGTCCCCAGAGGTTGAATCCCCAATGGTTTGTATCTGACATTGACATGCTAACATGCCAAAATAAACATGGTGAAAAGGGGAAATATTACACTTAACATCCACATTGTAGCTATGCCAATACACGCATGTGCATCAATTAGCTCAAAGCACCACCTCGCCTAAGTAAAGTTTCACCAAGCTGCTAGCATGGCTGCAAACTCTTGTGAAAACTTGGTGATTTATGATATCATAATTCCCAGTCACAGCAATTCAATTTGTGTTTCAAACTAAAGTGATTGAAGTAGAAAAGTATCCAAATGGAGGAAAATGCATTTATTAATCTCATAATCTATCATCTACATGGAACCTACAGAATGAGGTAAAACTGATTCCTACTTGAACTCAGAGGGCCTGTCCACTACAGATTCTGGATCCAACAGGAAGTGTTTCTGAGTGATACTTCCTGTCCGGGTGTCAATAGTGACCACTGGAAAGCCCATCTGGAGAGTCCAGCGGTTCATGATGTCATGGACAGTGTGTGGAATATGAATACCTGGTGTCTTTTCAGCTGCCTGAGAACAAACAGAGGGCAGCAAGGATTCAGAAGAAAGATACATTTCCAAGTAAAATTTAGCATAACACATTTTTTTTCGCAGAACCAACCTGTTGGAGATGGTCCCATAGGTCTGTATACACTGTGTTGCTGAATGCAAATTTGTTCAGGTAAGACTGCGGAGAGAAAAAACACACAGTCGGTTATTCACACAGGAAATCAGAAATCTTGAGTTGAAATAAAATCTATTGGTATTTTGTAGGTTACACAGTAAAAAAAAACTCTAAAACAAAACTCTCTCACCACCACAGACAGAGAGTGGCAGTTATAATTAAGTTTTGAGGTTGTGAAACAGGGTTAATTCTCACGCTGAGTCCTCTGGCAAACACGGGCTCTGTGAGAAACTCTGACAGCATCTTGAGCACGGCCGCTCCCTAAAGGCAACAAACATAGAAACCACAAGAACTTGGTTGACTTGAATTTCTCATAACAGTGTAGTTTTTTGCATTCACTCCAAAGCAACTACTAAAACATATTGCTCTGATGGTGGGACATATCAAAATCAAGCACAATAGAAAAACTGGTGTTTCTTGAATTTGCCTGACTTAAACGCAAGCATATTTTGAGAGTTTCAAACACAGGAAAGTATGGAAATATGGGAAGGTAAAAATTGGAGAAGATCCTGCATCAGATTTTGTTTTCTTTTGTTTCCTATCAGAGGATCAGACCTTGCTGTAGGAGATGGAGTTAAACATCTCGCTGATCTGTGGAGGGGTAATGACCTCCTCTTCTCGGCGGGACAGTGGGTGAGAGGAGGCGAGGGCGTCCACTCTGAAAACCTTGTGCACGTCTGATAGAATGATCTGGTCTTTCTGTAGTCAAGCAGAGAGGTGAGTTAGTGCAGGTGTTTTAACCAAAACATATCTGTGAGTTTGTTGATGTGTGAAGTGGTCACAAGGTTTCCTGTCTCACCATATTCCAGGTGGGCTCAGCATAGTTGGCACCCAAGTATTCAACATATGATGCAAAGCCCTCATTCAACCACAGGTCATTCCACCATTGCACTGTCACCAGGTTGCCAAACCACTGACAAACAAACAAAAATACACACTTTACAGAGATGAAGAGATAAAGAAAAGAGATAAAGCCAGACTAACCACTTACCCCTCATTTAACCTTGGCACACTGTCAGGAAACTAATGTTTCTACAAACTCTGTTTGGGACAGTGAATTAAAGCTTTTGGCAAACATAGATCCCAAAGTTTCATCCCGAGAAATATATTTTAAATACATCTACAAGAAGGCAAGGTCAATTTGTCCCCAGGTGGTGATCTGCCCTCTTTTCTTTGGCAAATGGAGGTTGAGTACTCTGGCTTAAAATGTATTTTTAATATTTCTGTGTTATTCATTAGAGTGGTGAAAGAGCTGAATGAGATGGATGCTGATTATAACCCCTACTTTTTAACTCACTCATTCTTTTCTCCTGCTTACGAAAACTGTGATGACAACCATTTGGCGGTAATGTGACAGCCTACCATGTGTGCAAGTTCATGGGCAATGACGGTTAGAACTCTCTCTTTGTTTCCAGTGGAGGATTCGAGGGGATCATAGAGCAGAGCAGTCTCCCTGTATGTGACCAGACCCCAGTTCTCCATGGCCCCAGCATTGAAGTCTGGCAGAGCTATCTGATCTAGAGAGAACAAGGACGTCAGAAATTCAAGAACAAATTGTGTTAGAAATTAACCTTAACTACAATAGTAGCCCTAGTTATGATCTATTTCTACTTGAATGAAGATGATGTCTTCATTCAAGTAGAAATACACAATTGGAAGTCAGAATTGTTACTTTGCATGTCTAATAAAACAGTCTTGTGAATTGTACCTACATCTGATTCACCAATCTGTGTTTGAAATTCCATTTGCTTGTTTGTCCAACATTCCCAAGACGTATTCGACAGCGTTGGTGAAAAAACTGTGAGTACGGAATATTAATGTAACATTTATGTCGTGTTTTTGCTTTTGGCCATGTTGATTGGTTGGTTGGTCTCTTATTTGTTGGTTGGTTGGTTGGTCAAACTGACTGCCTACCACTTGGTCCAGACTGAAATATCTCAACAACTATCGAATGGATTGTGAAGAATTTTGTCCAAACCAAAGTCTTGTTCACTTTCTTGCGAAATATGTAAATGTACTAAGAACAACATTCTTTGCTCAGGGCCAGAGAAATATAACTTTCCACATAATGTACTGTGTAATACACACACAACACAGATTTTTGTGCTATGACATAGACATGCGCTTTGTTTAGTGCTTATTAAAAATGTTTGTATGCTAATATGCGTTGCTGCAGCATTTTGGTGCTGAGTTAACCTGCCTGACTTGGAGAGCGGATATGAAGCGTTGTAGTAGTGCTCATAGAACTTAAGGATTGGCCCTGTTACATTGAGAGCGTAGTCTCCCTGTCTGTCAAATACGGCTTCTCTCCGAGCCCAGATTCGGATCTGCAAAGATTATTAAAGACACAACAATGGATCAAAACAAGAGAAAATCTCCTCTTTTAAGGCTATTAATTTACTTCTGTAGTCACAGGGAGATACAGTCGGATGATGTGACCTCTGTCCCTTTCCTTCCTAGGATTGGTTTTTGTACTTCTGGTGTTCGAAAATTCCTATCGTATGTATATATTTACATGTATACATAAAAATGAAAATGAAGCTATGAATAATATGATATTCTAATACATTTCTTACCAGCAGATTGTTGTTTAGGCTTGTCTGAATGCTGAAAAAGTCACTGACGATAAATGCCAGCAGATATGTGGACATTCTCTCTGTTGGCTCAAATCTTGTTACTGTGACAGGAATGCCGTTGATGACAGAGTTTGCAGCTTCTGTATCAGAAGAGGACAAGTCACACCTTGACACTCTGTTAGTATTAACAGTATCTGTTGTCCATGTTATTAATTATTTACAATGACACAGTCTCAGACACTCTCACTAACACGTGTGCTAAGAAACTTACTACTCTGTTCCCATTTCTGGTCTTTACATTGCAGTTACTGAAATTATACCATTTTCAGCATGTTTTTCTGTTCTTATGGGATTTTACAAATTTCTTCTGTGCTCACCTCAGATAAATAAGATGTAAGAAAAAGTCAAAAGTTTTAAGATTTCTAAAACAAACCAATTTCCATGCCGTTGGACAGAGCCACGGTGCCTTGGACGTGAATGAGGGTGACATTGAAGACAGCTTTCATGGCTGGCTCGTCAAAGCAAGGGAATGCTTTCCTGGCATACGTTGCTTGCATCTGCGAGGTAGCAACCACTCTGCAAAATGTTTTAATCCAATATTGCTCAACAAAGAAGAACATTGGAACCATGAAAATAAACTCTCCATGATTATGTTAGCATGAATACAGAAATTCCGATATTAAACAGATCAAGCCAATAGTCTGAAAAAGACACTGACATGTAAACAGCATTTTCTGATCACCTTAACCTGAATAAGGGTCATAATGGAATTAAGGCACGTGAGGTATTCTGTCCTTAATCACATTATGTAGACATATGTCTTTAAATGTCCTATTAGTATTTTAACCGTATTTGTGACATTGACATATGGCAGTGACATTACAAACATACATTACACAAAATTAGAAAGAAAACAACATGTTATACGGTAGCATCGTACATTAAACGTTTGCAGGTTGGGCTCTTAAAACTAGTGGAATAATGTCAGACATAATGGCATAGTGGACTTATTGACATGTCATTATCTATGTTCATAAGACTATGTCTGATGTGAACGGAAATATGAACAGAATATTCGACTAGCAAGTCCTATAAACATCATAATCAAAATAATGTTCTTCTGAATGAGGTCAATAGTCTGAATATCGGTCTCCATGTAAACGTAGTCAAGAAAAGGAAAAATGGTGCACCACTCTGCTTTGCTGTGTCATTGCTTACTTCTTCACACCATCCTCAACGTATTCACTCCTGTAGAAGCCCTCCAGGTCGTCCGCCAGCTCTCCCTGAAATTCAGTGTGAAGTACATAGGTTGCTCCTGCAGATAGTCTGCTGTGCAGCTGAAGAACCATATACTCTGTCTTCACCACAAACCAAGTCTTTCGTACAGCAGGCGCAGGGACTTCACCCAGGCCACCCAGCGTAGCATGCTTCCCAGTGAGGTTCAGCTTATTGGAATGGATGATGATAAGGTCTGTTTCCTTCACACATTTGAAGACCACCGCTGAGTGTCCAGTGAAGATGTACAGGCCGTCTGCGTTAGGCTCCAGCCGTGGCCACAGGGTCACATTGTAACTGACAGGAACCAGGGAGTCTGGAAGTCTGTAGTGGTCCCAGGGCTCCTTTGAGGTGAAGGGTGTAGTCGATGGTGATGGCATGCTGGTGTTCTCTGTCGCTTCATCTCCAGGTCCGCTTGTATTCTTGGCTCTTTCCTTGTTATAAGCAATGGACAAAGCTATAATTGTGACCAATGCACAGAACGCTAATACAAGCATTGCAAGGCCCACATTTTTACTGATGTAGTAGACTTTCCCCATGTCTGATTCAGGAGGTCAGAGCAGGACAGTCAGGGGTCTCAGTCTGTCTTTGTCCAGCACAGCAGGTTTCTTTCCTCCTCAGTTAATCGTTGAACTATTAACATGGCAGAAAACACATTTTCATAACACCTAAGGAGAAATGGAAACATGAGATTGGTCAATTAGTTTACAACTCAGCTGCTGTCAGATTTGTAAAAATCAAGCAAAAGTGCTGCTTTGTTCAAAACTGGCATTTTAGTTTCATTATTACTGTGTGTTCCAACTACAATATCATGTAATATCAGTGAATGCCAAAGACTACATAGAAATTCTCTCTGGTCAGTGGTGTTGGGTTGCCAGTAGTTATTACTCCTACTCCTGCTAGAAGTGGACTGAATTGTGGAAAGGAAATAGATAGTGGACAGTGTGGGAGCAAAAACATGCCAGTTACATGATGTGAGAGACAATATAAATGGTTTAGTAATATGAATTGGTTAAAAACGGAACTAGAATGGAACACGGCCAGTGAGCACAACTACACCGACGGCCAACACGCCCCTTAAATTCAGTCAATACTTTCTCACACGTATCAGTTACCTAAATGTGATCCATGAATTATCCCCTGGGAAAATGGTGAAAGTGAAAAAACACCTTATCTCAAAATGTGAGTAAGAAATAAAACACCTACATTTGATTTGTCACTCCCTGGCCCATTCGCATCGTCCCACCAAGTTTCGTAGGAAATACATTCAGTTGTTTTTGTGTAATGTTCTTTACAAACTAACTAACTATAACAGACAAGGGTGAATACATAACCGCCTTGGCTGAGCAAAATTGGACTTGTCTAAAAAATATAGTGACAAAAGTCAGTTAACAGACTGTTGTGATATTGCTGAATATGTTAAGAAATGCTAAACAACATCCATCTAAAGTGTGGGGCACAGGCTCAGGAACTCAAGAGGCCATTGTGGCCCTGGATCAGATTTACATGTGTCTGCCCAAAATCAACAGTCCCATTCCCTGAAACTTGTGTTGACTTCTGTCCTTTGAACAAAATGTTCACTTCTCTTTGCATCTTTATACTATTATCATATTTGTGTTAATGGTTGTACAAACAATGCTGTAAATGTTCAACCCCTGAGTGTATTGGATTGAGCAAGAATGTGTCTTGCCAGTTCAGCCAAGCAAACGCACAGTAAACAGGGGAACAGAGAGCTTGGCTCTGTCTAACGGCAACAAAAGCAGGAGCTCAAAAAAAAAAAAGTTCTTATTGCTTCAGCTCTATCTTTTGAACTTTCTCTATCTCTTAACTATTGACTATTATTGCAAAACTCTACTCACTAATCACAAAGTCTTACATCAAACTATAAAGCAAATCTGGTGTAAAAACGTAGTGACTAAAGTTAGGTCTGTTGTGATATAACCAATATTGATGTAGATTTGCGGATAGATGCTGAGAAACGTCTATCTAAAGTTTTTTAACTTGGATCTACCACTTGCAGTACTGTATCTAGGCCTGTTCAATGTCCCAACAAGCCTCTTCATGCCTCCTCTAGAAATACAATTCTCCTCCTCATCCTTCAATGCTCTCTGTCCAATATTGGCCTTCACTGTTGTCAAAGCAAATGTTTACCTGTGGCCTATTTATATTGAGAGACGTATTATCTGAAAGTGCTCTCACATGTGTCAATGAGGCACTTGACAAAACAGAGCAGCAATTAAAAGATCAATGTTTATGAGCCACCCTAAGTTTTAAAGCACACAAAACCATGTGTGAGCATTACAACATCAAGTTGTGGTCTCTCTGAGGGATACGTTTACCTTTCTGGATTGCGCACAGCCACCTGTTGTGGTTTTCCTGTAACGTCATGGTGATGACTCCAGTTTGCTGACGAGGGTATTTTATTGCTCTTGGACAGAACCAACATGTTTTTCTCTTGTCTTATATGCTTAACTTAGTAATCCAGTGGCTGGTCGTTAATACAATCCAAATCTTGTAAAGAACATACATGTATTTTCCCAAATGTTGAGCATATATATTTCTAGTACATCATGTTGGGCAGGAAGATGCTGGCTCAGTATGAGGAATGCACTCTTACTCCAAGTAAATTCTGCACATTATCTTTGCTTTTTTCTCTTCCTAGTACAAAACAGGATAGATGTTTTTTGTTTTTTGTTTTACTGCAGTACCTTTAGTTTGTCAAAAGCTCAAGTCATTACTGTTATTGCTTGTCTCATGCTCTGGCTTGATATAATGGTATTATAGATTTCTTCTCCTTTGTTATTATTACTCTATCCTCCTATAATAATTATAGGTTATTCCTACAGCAACATCTTTTATTGTACTTTGTAATTAACTCTGGGTCATTTATTTCTAAAGAGTATGTCTAGAGGACTTTCTATCAACAAATGTACAGGGAGGAAACAGTTTGGATCATAAAATGGACTCTGGTTATAATACAATAAAATGACATCTTTTATCTAATGAAATTCTTTATCCAGTTGTTATGATACTACCAAACTTTTGCTTCTGTTGTTTAAAAGTCCTGAAGGCCATAGTGGACACCACAATCTGCAGGGCGATTAGCCAACTCCTTTCACCAAGTGAAAAATAATATTGCTTTTGTCAGGGCTGGGTAAAAGCCAACATCAGCCGCCAGGACTGACTCCTGGCCAACGAGAAACAGCACGAGACTGGGAGCTGTAAGTCAAATTGGGGAGTTCACAAAAAAGGCTGCAACAACAAAGCTAAGGCCGGACATGGTGCTGATCTTGGAAGTCTCCAAGAAGATCTTTCTCTTGGAAGTCACTGTTCCCTTGGAGGAATAGAATGAGCAGGCCAACGAGAGTAAAAGTGCAAAGTTTGCTGAGCCAGAGGAAGAATGCTACAGAAACTGTTGTTGAATGATCAGAGGCTTTGTTGATAAGTCCTTCAGCAGGGTCTACAAGATGCTGGACATCACAGGTGCCAGTAAGCGAAGGCCATTTAAGTTATAATCACTGAGGCAGCAGAAATGTCTTCAAGACGACTCTATTTTGGGAGAAAAGAGTTGAGGGTGAGATAACGCTACCTGGACACAAGCTGGGGCTTTATCACCCACCACTGAATCAACTGGGCAAAACTCTGAACTCCCAATGACCATAGGTAACTGAATCCTATCTTAAATTATCTGTGGTGCCTGTATTTGGTTTATACCCAGGAATCCTGGAATATATACTTAGTAAAAGAAACTGTACATTATAGAAGAAGGTAAAAGATTTGAAGCAACAAAGCTTTCCTAAAAACTATCTCATGTGACTTCACTTAAGGTTAGACGTGAAATAATTCTGCTGGACTTAATGTAAGATCAATATGTTTTTCTTCTCTCCAGGTAAAAATGAATGACTTTACCAGTAGTTGAGTGGTACAATAACATACATCATAGAAGCAAAACCAGACCAACAGGCATGGGGTCACATGATACCATGTTACAGATGTCATTTGTCAAACAAAACCTCACTTTGACTTCCTCAAACTAGTGGGAGGCTACAGCCGAAAATAAAGTTTCATTTGTTACAGGAACAGAATCTATACATTTGTTTTTGTAGACAGTGATAAAACACCCTTAATCCCATTTCATGTATTTATGTATTTGAAGAATGATATGGGGCTGAAAAGCTCGATGAGTCCTACAGTCCTTTTTACACATTAAAAAAAGATCATCCACAGTTATTGCCATGTGAACTTCACAACCTACAGGTAAGACAACATCTGGAAATGATCTGATTAAACTCCCTGCAGACCATGACCACACAGGCGAAGACATGCAAGGATTCCTTTATAACACAAAACATTCTCTCATCCGTCTGTGCCTAAAGGATGAAAACATCTTAAATCTAGTGTTAATGCTGTAGTTATGCCCTGTGTACACTTACACCCCAAATAACAACTACAATTACTTTCTAAACTACTGCTACTCTGCACCACTCTCTCCCACGAGGGCAGGATGCAGAAAACATTGTAAAATGTTTTCAGGCTGGATACCCTGAAACTGTAGAAAAGTTGTAACTACTTAATTTTATTCCTTTTATTCCAATT